AGATTGGGGGCAGGTTTGGGGCAGGTTGGTTACAAGTCGGGGGCAGGTTGGGGACAGGTTTAGGGCAGGTTGGGGACAGGTTGGGTACTGGTGGAGGATGGATTGGGGCAGGTTGTGGGACAGCTCTGTGTGCTGCAGGCTGCACTGATGACATCACGACCAGCGACCACTCGCCCGTCTTCGGCTCCTTCGAGGTCGGCGTCACGTCCCAGTTCGTCTCCAAGAAAGGTACAGCCTTCAGCCCTGCAGGGACAGGGGGACAAAGGGGATGTGGGGACAAGGGGGGACACTCTGCTGTCCCTACTCCCCGTGCAGGGCTGTCCAAGTCATCGGATCAGGCGTACATTGAGTTTGAGAGCATCGAGGCCATCGTGAAGACGGCGAGCCGCACCAAGTTCTTCATCGAGTTCTACTCCACCTGCCTGGAGGGTGAGCGCCTGGAGGGGGGGACAAAGGGTCCGTAGAGGTGTGTGTGTGTGAGGGGGGGTCGGATACGGTGCCACCATGCTGTCCCCTGGTGCAGAATTCAAGAAGAGCAGTGAGAACGACACGCAGAGCAGCGACAACATCAACTTCCTCAAGGTGCAGTGGTCGTCGCGGCAGCTGCCCACGGTGAGTTTGCCATGGGGTTGGATAGAGGAGGGCACTGGGGGGGATTTTGGGAGGTGGGGGGCTGTAATCCCACTCCCCTCACACTGTGTGCCCCCCCAGCTGAAGCCCATCCTCTCTGAGATCGAATACCTGCAGGACCAACACCTGCTGCTCACCGTCAAGTCCCTGGATGGCTACGAGTCCTATGGTGCGTACATCTCCACGGTCCCCGTGCCGTGCCAACCTTCAAGGGTTTGGGGACCCCCACCCTGATGGTGACCCCCCCCTCCACCCCCCTTAGGGGAATGTGTCATCGCCCTCAAGTCCATGATTGGCAGCACAGCTCAGCAGTTCCTCACTTACCTCTCACACCGTGGCGAGGAGACGGGCAACATCCGTGGCTCCATGAAGGTGCGCGTGCCTGCGGAGCGCCTGGGCACCCGTGAGAGGCTCTATGGTGAGAGCTGGGGGTGGGAAAGGGGGCAATGGGGGGCTCAGTGTGCCCCCAACCCCTCTGTGTGCCTTTGCTGAGCTCACCCCCCCACCCCATCCCCTCGCAGAGTGGATCAGTGTCGATAAGGACGAGGCGGCGGGCGGCAAAGGCAGAGCCCAGCTGAGCTCCAGAGCCCCCCAGGAGTGTGCCAAGTGAGTGGGGAGGGGGGCTGGGGGGAGGGTCGTGCATCTCTTGGTGCTGTGTTGATGATGGGAGCTTCCCTGAGGGATGGGGCGTGGGGTCCTGGTGCGTGGGGTGGGGCTCAGAGCAACCATGAACGATGGTGCATGGGATCTTGGTCCATGCTGCAATGCTCACAGCATCCCTGTAGGATGTTGCATGGTATCCTGGTGCCTGTAGCAATGCTGAGAGCATCCCTGCAGGCTGGTGCATGCGGTCCTGGTGCCTGTAGCAATGCTTGTAGCAACCCTGCAGGATGGTACGTGGGGTCCCAATGCATGTTGCAATGCTGAGAGCATCCCACCAGGATCCTGGTGCATGGGGTGGTGCTCAGAGCATCCCTGCAGGATGGTGCATGGGATCCCAGTGCATGTGGCAGTGCTCTGAGCAGCCCTGCAGGATCCCAATGCATGGGGTGGTGCTCAGAGCACCTCTGCAGGATGGTGCATGGGATCCCAGTGCATGTGGCAGTGCTGAGAGCATCCCTGGAGGATCCTGGTGCATGGGGTGGTGCTCAGAGCAACCATGCAGGATGATGCATGGGGTCCTGGTGTTGGATCCTGGTGCATGCTGCAATGCTTGCAGCATCCCTGCAGGAATGCACACAGGCTCCTGGTGCATGTGGCAGTGCTCTGAGCATCCCTGCAGGATGGTGCATGGGATGCCAGTGCATGTTGCAGTGCTGAGAGCATCCCTGCAGGATCCCAATGGATGGGATGGTGCTCAGAGCATCCCTGCAGGATGTTGCATGGGGTCCTGGTGCCTGTAGCAATGCTTATAGCAACCCTGCAGGATGGTGCATGGGACCCCAGTGCATGTGGCAGTGCTCTGAGCAGCCCTGCAGGATGGTGCATGGGATCCCAGTGTGTGTGGCAGTGCTCTGAGCAGCCCTGCAGGATGGTGCATGGGGTCGTGGTGCCTGTGGCAATTCTTATAGCAACCCTGCAGGATGGTGCATGGGGTCCCAGTGCATGTGCCAATGCTCAGAGCACCCCTGCAGGATCCTGGTGCATGTGGCAATGCTTGAAGCATCCCTGCAGGGTGGTGCATGAGATCCCAATGCATGTTGCAATGCTGAGAGCATCCCTGCAGGATGATGCATGGGGTCCTGGTGTTGGATCCTGGTGCATGCTGTGATGCTTGCAGCATCCCTGCAGGAATGCACACAGGCTCCTGGTGCATGTGGCAATGCTGAGAGCATCCCTGCAGGATCCCAATGCATGGGGCGGTGCTCTGAGCATCCCTGCAGGATCCCAATGCATGGGGTGGTGCTCAGAGCACCCCTGCAGGACGATGCCCAGAGTCCTGTTCCACTGCAGGACGGCACCCCCAGCCCGATGACCCTCACCCCCCCCTCCCTTTTCATTTCTGTCCCCCCAGGTCCATGGTTCGGAAGCCCCCCGGGGCCGATCCTCCCACCTCCCCCCCATCCAAAGCCCCCGAGGAACCCGAGAAGGACAGCACAGCTCCACCCCCCCGCCTGCCCACCCCACACCGTGGCACCTCCAGGGATGAGGCCGCCCTGAGCCGGTGAGTGGGGTGGCACAGAGATTTGGGGTACAGGGGGGGGGAGTCACCCCGCATCCCCTCCCCACCTCTACTCAACTCCCCCCTTTGTGCCCGCAGCTCCAAAGCGGAACCGGTGACGGAATCTCCGGGGGGGCCTTTGAAGAACAGCTTCAATAACCCTGCATACTACGTGCTGGAAGGGGTCCCTCACCAATTGCTGGCCCCCGACCCCCCCCCCGGCAAACCCCCAGTCCCTAAAAACAAAGCTGTGCCCCCCGAACGCCGCCGCCATCCCTCTGCAGGCCCCCCCCCTCCGTGCCACGAGGACACCTCCTCGGATGAGGACCCCAACCCAGTCGCTTTACCCCCCCCAGACTTTCCCCCTCCTCCTCTGCCCCGTGAACTGGAGGGGGCCGAGACCACCAGGGAGCTGTTGGGGGGGGTCGGTTGTGAACCCCCCCCACCCAAACCTCACCCCAGACCTTCAATACCCACCTTTGGGTTGGAAATATCCGGGGGGGTCTCGGTACCTGGGGGGGTGAGGGACGACCGTTCGTGTTCTGTGCTTCAGATGGCCAAAACGTTGAGTGAGGTGGAATATGGGGGGGGTGGGGGGGGTCGGGGGGGGTCAGGAGGGAGGGGGAGGTTGGAGCTGCCCCCCCGTTGCCTGCATCCCGATTACAGCCGTCCCATCGCCTTCACATCCCACTGCATCCGAGAGAGCATCCAGGAGGATCTGGTTGAGGAGGTGGGAATTGGGGAGGGGTAGGAGGGGGAGGGGGGGG